ACCTGAAAAATAAATGTAAGAGTGAGTTCTCTACACTATCACACACTCACAAATATAAAGACTCACCTTGCCTATTTTACAACAATCCCTAATATGATAAAATTACATTTTAAACATGCATTAATCTATTGCTTTCAACAACATACACATCATATTCACACATCAAACATGTTTGGGTGTGCTTACTGCACCTTCAATCAATTCACACACACACACGTATACTCACTACATGTTAGCCACGCTTATTATGGCACTTTGATCACATTTTTTCTTATGCCTTTAATCTCAGAGACTTACTTAGTTTCATACTATGGATAGTCGTTGGTTAGCGCCCGCCTCACGGATACAACATGTGTGGTCACGGGCCCTATAACAAAGGTATTGGTTAGAGACTGAGTCAGGTAAAGAGTGTGTGGCTTGTGGCATACCCACGCTCACTATTGATGTCACCACCACCCTCTATTCCTCAAGGTATTTCTACTGCCCTTATCTTCTATATCTCAGTGTATCGCTGTAACTATTCATAGTTTTTTAACAATTCCAACATAATCATATTCACATTCATCATGCCATTCACACACAATCTCCAACATTTTCAATCACATCATGGCATTCATTCTCACACATGGCATGTACACACATATTCAATCACATTATGCTCAAACACCAGATTTTCCACCACAATCCTATTGTCATTCAAGCATTTCATCACACATGTTGCCCAATATTTATCACATCATACCCAATACGAAATTTCCATTAAAACATACATTCTCATATGTCCTATCTCAATCACATTCCAACAAGTAACAATATACACAAATTTTAACACAAAGAGATAGGGTAGAGTCTCCCTTTATCTCAAATTGAAAAACACACGACACAAACAACGGTAGAAGGGTTCCCCATGCGTATTTCTGTCCTAACTACATGGAGAAATCCATGAGAAATCAAAGAGAACGAAGATTGAATAGAAACGAAAATCCTAGCTCTTGAAACTTACCTCTAAATGTCCAAAACACGTTCACAATCTTCAATCTACGGTGCAAACAGTCTTGGAGGCAATTTAATCAGTGAAATAGGGTGAAAGGTCAAGAGAATCAAAGGAGAAATGAAGAGAAAGGGTGAGAAATGTGTTTCCCGAACCCTAAACCGCTTAAATACCCTAAACGTCGCGATATTCTCGCTGCAGCGAGACCTCTTCTTGCTACAGCAAAAATATTAGACGAAAATGCACTTAGTTTTCTATATAATCTCGCTATAGCAATACCTTCTCGCGACAGTGAGACTAACCCAAAAAACTACCCACTCTCTGTTACCTTCTCGCTACAGCAAGAACGCTGTAACATCCTTATTATTATTATTTTTATAATAATAATAAAATTTCAGAATTTAAATAGAAAATGAAATAAATTTTTATTTACTGGCCAAATATAACAATAAAATTTTCATGCATTCTATTCATTTTGCTCAATTGTACAGAACTTTGAATAACGAGACAATAATGATTAAACAGAATCTGGAAAAGAAACATTAAAATATATGAACATACATTATTCTCATAATATATGCAAAGGTAATATTTACAAAATATTCATTACAGTACAATAAAAATACATTAGTACTTTCTTTTCAACATTTATAAGATACAAAACATAATAAGTCATAATGAGCAGCCTATCCATTACATGACCAAGGAGACACTAGTCGTCCCCCTGCCATCCCTTTATCATCGCAATATCATCGGAGTTGAGATCATCATCTGATCCAAGATACAGGTCACTAGGGTCTGCAATAACCTGGGCACCAATGATCTGTTCAAATGTCCAATGAGATGACCTCCCAAGATGATCGTGGTCATGGTAGGTGAATAGGTAAGTCAAAGCTGCTAGGGTCCTTACAGTATCAAGAAAGATATATACACAAAGAGTATGATGAATTCTGCTTGAAGGAAAATCAAAAGGGACACTAAAAGCTAATTCCATTTCCATTATAATAGTATCACTAGGTACATCATTTACATCTATAGCAATCCTAAAGAAACAAAGTCTTTGATACTCATTAAATACATAATTCAGTCTATTAGTTACCGAACTATCTACTAATCTAATCCTCTCGGTGGATGCTGTCATCTGGGTTCCCTGAAATGTTTACGTAAGGATGAGTCTCTATTCATATTACCAAGCATACATTCACAATTATTCACACAGTAAAACAAAGATAATACAACAATCAATCATGTTACAAAGTCATACTCATATTCATGCAATAATCTTTAAGTATTCAACTTATTACTCTTCATCTCTTTGTTAATACTTGGGATTCTCATTTCATTTTTATTGCCCCTGGGATCCCTCGAGGTCTTCCTTAGCATAGATAGTCGCTGGATAGCCACAGCTACACGGATACGTGTGCCGACTTGGCCCCTTTTAGCAAAAGCATGGTAAGGAGTATTAGTCAGGAAACCAGTGTGAGGCCTATAGTGCTCATACTCTCATTTATTTTGCGCAATTCAAGAGGAGCATCCACCACCCTCATTTCTCCAAGACTTCTCAGTTGTCTCCATCTTCCACAGTCTCAGTGTTCCTCTGAACTATCCATACTCATCCTTATCATATTCCATTCTCATTTCACTTTTTCTTTCCATATTTCCCATCTCATCTCTATATTTCTCACTATCTATTTATTCACATATTATTCATGCTTTTATATCTTTCTTTTACTTTAGTTCATTATTATATTACACAAAATCAATCATTGCCAAGAGTTAGTTCCCTTAGACTCAGTCCACCATGTACATACATATATAGTCAAAATAAAAATTATACACATCATCAAACATCACAAAATAGGCTTCAAATATAACAAAAACATGTTTTCATCCAACATATACTTAAAATCATACATTTCATCAAAACATCTTCATGAATACAAGCATACCACTTCCTTAGTAACAAAATAGAGCTCTCCTTACCTTAAAATGAAAGTTTAATAAAGGGTTTTCGAAAGGGTCTTACTTAAAAGGCCGAGTTCTTCCTAAATATCACAAGAGTTTCTCTTTAGAGGAGGAAGAACAAAAAAATAATCAAATAAATAAAGAATAAAGCACCAAAACTTATCAAAGAACAAGAGAAGTGATCTTCTAAACTTTGATTGGAGAAAAGTTGGAGTTTTTCCAAAGATTTGTAGAGAAAATGAGGAGAGAAGTCACAGAGAACTATAAGGGTCATGACTTGGATTATAATCCAAGTTTCTTAACATGAAAACCCTTAAATACCCCTCAATTCACGATATTCTCGCTATAGCGAAAAAAATCAGACAAAATTGCACTTTGCTGTCTGTCATTCTAGCTACAGCGAGAGAGCATTAGAATGCCTGATTTTAGACGCTGATTTCTCGCTACAATGAGACACATCTCGCTACAGCGAAAAATCCTGCAACTTAAACATCTAAAACTCTCCTAATTTCAAGCAACATATATTAATAACTCATACCAAATACAAAACTAATAAATAATAAAAATAGGGGTGTTACAAACGCAACAGAGACACGCTAACTTGCCCAGGACCTTCTCGCTACAGCGAGAATATCTATGCAGCACCCCATCAGCCTACATTTCCAACCAATCTACCCCAACCACAAGTCAACATTCACATTTAAATCACAACATACATATATACACATACACATGTACTTATCCACACCATTAATCATAAATCAAAATGCACACCCAATTAATAATAACATACACAACTTATATCAATAATCCAAAAATTATTATAAAATTCAGGGTGTTATAGATCTACGACTGAACCTGCAGAGCTAAAATGATCACCTAGTAGTTCGACAAAAAGCTTATTATACGAGTTTTAGCAAATGAGTTAAAATAACTAAATACGTGATCAATTTGCTCATCTTTCTAAGTTCGCCACCTTTTATATTGAATACCATTTGGCCCAATGTCAATTGACATCTTGTAGAATATTTTTGAGACTTTTATATTGTTTCCCTCATACTCCTTTAGTATTCGGCTCTCCAATTGTAGCAAAGTAATTAGTGGATGATCAACCAACCAAGCCTGATTATCACTACAAAACATCTCTCCCTCTACTGTGTTTACAATCTCACCATTATATAATATAAGCACATGAATGTTATTCTTTGTTATTTTAATAAAATTTTCACACTCAATCTTATAAAATTTTAAACAAATTATTACAAAGTTGGGAAGTTGTATGTTTATTTACAGGGAATGAGCAAGGAGATAAGTATTGAAATTTAGTTGAAACAACTTCTAAATTGAAATATATATGAATTAACTTTTATATTGAACTAGAATTTACTTGAATTAACTTTTTTTTAAAATTGAAATATACTTAAATCGATTTGAGTGTAATAACTTAATAAAATCGACTTCTGTACAAAATTAAAAATAATTCAACACAAGTCGATTGTAGTTGACTTCTTTGCAAAAAATAAATGACTAAAAGTCAATTCTCTTGTAGCTCGATTCAAAATTTTAACCAAAGTCAATTAAAGTCGACTTCCATTATTATATTTTTAAGATAAGATTATAAACTTTTCTAAAACAAGACATTTACAAAATAAATTTTTAAATTTTTTTTATTTACATAAAAAACCCTTGGTTTATGAACATTTATTAAAAATAAAATAATAAAATAAAATAAATTTTTTTATTATATTTTATTTTGTATTGTTATTTAAATAGCTTGTATACTTTTCTTCAATTATTTATACAACATAATAATATCTCATACTTATATTCTATTTTTATTAATTATTAGATAAAATTTTAAGATAAAATATTTGATTTAAAGTTTAAAAAATTAAATATGTATGATTAAAAAAAAAAACTGAAAATGTAATCCTTTGGGTGAGATCTAATTTTATACACGAAAGGATCTTTACGGGCCATGTGTAGCTTAAGTGGGGCTTGGGCCGGAGTGAGAGATATAGCAGAGCCCAGAAGAGAAGAGTGTGAGGGGTGGGAGGCAGTGGTCTCTTTGTGTGAAGATTGTAAAAGAGAGAGAGCGAGAGGGAGAGGGGCATCGCCGTCTGTGTAATTGATATTTGATGCGCATGCGGTGGTTCCTCCGAAACCCAATCAAAACCTCACTCATCCGTTCAATCTCATTTCGAGGTTTGGTTCCTCTCTCGTTCACTTCCATTTCGAGATCGTCAATCCCAATGGCTGCAATCCACAATCACAACAGCGAACCCGGGCTTGCCAGACGCTTTTGGATCAAATTCACTCGCGAATCCATCTTCGCCATCTACACTCCCTTCGCCATCGCCTTGGCCGCCGGTAATTTGCACATCGATTCCTTTCGCCATTACATCGCTCAAGACGTTCATTTTCTTCGCGCCTTTGCTAAAGCGTTAGTTCCCTATCTTCTCTTTCCTAATTCTTATTTTCCTCTTTTAAACTAATGCCTATGTGATTTATTACGATTTTATTCTGCATAATCCCTTCCTTGCGCTCTCATGATGATTTTCTCATCTTGTTATTGTCCCCAGTTTGGTTGCTGAGAAAGTTTACGAAAAGCTAGTTGAGTAATTAAAGAATTAATAAATGAAGTTCGATGTTGTTTTTAAACTCATACGGCGCGAGATATGGCTCGAAACAATTATATAGATAATAGAATGTTTATTATTTTAGATGGTAGAGGATGAAATGTTCTCATGACTCGAACGTTATAATTTTCGTCTCACTTAATTTATGGTTTTTCCAAGTTAGTGCAACTTAATTTATTCATGTCTTTGGAAATTGGAATTTTATTTTATGTCTTTTTTCTTTGTTCTGTTTGTCAGTTTTCTCAGCAACCAAAACTGGAGGGTTAGATTATTTCGTGAAATTGTATGTACATTTGATTGAGGTGAGTTTCGGTCTTTACATCTTGAAACCGTGGAAGACCTACTCTACTCTCCCACTGACTCTTTTTTTCTCTTTGATATAAAATCTATTACAAGATTATGCAAAATAATTTGTTTGTTTAAAGTTTCATCTTTGTATTTAATGATTTCATAGGTACGAGTTGGCTGAAGAGCGTGCTGATGATGATGATGCAAAACTTGGAATTTCTGAGTTGAGGAAGGCAGTTCTCGAGGAGCTGAAGATGCATGACTCACTGGTACAGGTAAGACAATTTTCAGTGTAGCATGAGCTGAAATGGAACAAGGTTTTTATATCTTAATCATTATGATTCAAAGCTTCTGTCTGTGAATTGTGACTTTAATTATGAATTATTTGAGGGGAAGAATGTTCTTTTTCATGATTTTCAACTTGTAAATGGGATTGGTCCTGTATAATATTTTAGGATTTGTGTGCTAATAATAGTAAAGGGCATAAATTGTCTGCTAAATGCTGTGATGGATCCCTTTCCATTATGTGAAAAAATTTCAAATGTTTTGCATGCATAATAATGACATTTTATGTAGTTGGAGCTTGACCACGAGACATCCATTCCAGTGGAACAAGGGGATGAAGAGTTGATAATTTTTTCTGGAAAGGAAAAAAAAATAAAAGCATGTGTTTTGCCCAAATTTCACCTCAGCATGCTATTATTGTTCGGGATTAAGCCAATCTTTAAACTTAAACTGTATAAAAGCATGAAAATTTCAAACGACCAATTTATAGTTCACATGCTTGCAATTTTTTTTTTGTACTTTACTAATCATTAAGCCTAATTATTGTGGTGTTTTGCTAATGGTGTAGGAATGGGGGTTGGACTTTGCCAAAGAGCACAGCATTAATTCTGCAACTGTTAAATACACAGATTTTCTGCGGGATACAGCCTCTGGGAAGATTGAAGGACTGAAAGGTCTTGCAACACCATTTGAGAAAACAAAAATTGCCGCTTATACTTTAGGTGCCATGACTCCTTGCATGAGACTTTATGCCTTTTTGGGTAAGAAGTTCCAGGAACTTCTTGATTCCAACGAAAGTACTCACCCTTATAACAAGTGGATCGACAACTATTCCTCTGATGGTTTCCAGGTTTGTCATATTGACAGTAGAGCCATACCATATAGCCCTTGTGGTTGCTTGGATACTATTTTGAATCTTGGTCGAATATACATTTTAGTCATGGCATTCTTGTGCCCCATCTACTCAGTTATTCTTATATTTCAATTTAGGCTTCTACTCTGCAAACTGAAGATTTGCTCGACAAACTAAGTGTCTCTTTGACTGGTGAAGAACTCGATGTCATTGAAAAGCTTTATTACCAAGCAATGAAGCTTGAAATAGAGTTCTTCTCTGCTCAGCCACTCTATCAGCCAACTATAGTACCCTTAACTAAAGGACATAACCCTGCAGAAGATCGTCTCATAATTTTTTCTGATTTTGATTTAACATGCACCGTTGTTGATTCATCGGCCATCTTGGCAGAAATTGCTATAGTGACGGCATCAAAATCTGATCAGAATCAGCCTGAAGATCAAATTGTTCGGATGTCATCTTCTGACCTCAGGAATACATGGAGTTTTCTATCCAGACAGTATACAGAGGAGTACGAGCAATGCATCGAAAGCATTATTCCTTCCAGTGGATGTATGGTCATTTTCTGTATTCTTTCTACCTTAGTCTTAAATTAAATAGGTTGGATGAATTCTGTGTTTTGCTCAGATTTTGTTAATTGGCATTTACCTTGTGATTTGCAGTGGACCATTTTGATTATAAAGAACTATCTATAGCACTTGAGAAACTTTCACAATTTGAGAACACTGCAAATAATAGGGTTATCGAGTCAGGGGTGCTCAAGGGTATAAATCTAGAAGATATAAAGCGTGCTGGAGAGCGTCTGATCCTTCAAGATGGTTGCACTAAATTCTTTCAGAGAATTGTCAAGAATGAAAATTTGAATGCCAATGTGCATGTTCTTTCGTACTGCTGGTGTGATGACCTCATTAGGTCTGCTTTCTCTTCAGGTACTTACTCCCTACCTTGATCTGTAATTTCAGACCTGTTTGCTGAGTGCTGACACTTAAATTCCAATTGTTAATTTTCAGCAACTTGAGGCTGTGGAATTAAAAATCCTTTTTTCTTAGGGCTTCTATATAAATCAATTATTGTTGTGTTGATTTTGCACTCTGGCAGTTGTCCTGTTCATGCTGTGTCTGATAAAGTTAGGTTGTTGGTGGACACACTTGTTCTTTCACCTCAGAGCATTTTCTCATGGTGTTTTTTTATAGTTCTGGGAGGAGTAAGACATAATGGCATTGTCAGGCTTATGCAATCGTTCCTATGTTTTTTTGGAGAGTGATCATATTTTCTGAGATTATTTTAATCCTTACATTTACTAGGGGATGGAATTTTTGAAGGCCTCGCAGTCCTGCTCTACCCATGGTTGTTATCAGGGAATTGTTATTACTGTGATGAAATGAAATTGAAAACTTGGCTAGAATTTTGACCCACTTTAGCCCACATGTTTTTTTGCTACTTCAGTGTATAATGTTTTAGATTTCAAAGATTTAAGTACGGGATACACATTCAGCTTTTAGTATGTTAACAGTAAACCAGACAACATGTTATTATCTGTTAAGTTGTGTGTTTCTATCCATATGTTTTGACATGGAAAGCATATCTTGATCCTCTTTCTGTTATTTACTTGGAGTGTATGCACAATTTTTCAATTGAAATAATTGTTCCCTTGTTATCTAGCCTAGATTGCCTTGATCAAACCTTCATGGCTTTTCTGTAATTTTAATAATTGTTGATGTCTTGTTTACTCAAGTAGTTTATCTTTTGTGGTTTTATATATACATTATTCTTTATCTGTACATTTTGCAGAGAATTTGCCAAGTTGATTTAAATTGGCAGTTGAATATATTTTAGTCTCCTATTTTCTTATAATGTTATTTTTCTAATTTTTGAGCAGCTGACTTAAATGAGTTGAATGTTCATGCTAATGAGTTCACGTATGAGGGATCTGTTTCCACGGGTGAAATTGTTAAGAAGGTGGAGTCTCCCATTGACAAAGTTGAAGCTTTTCGTAATATAATGAAAAGTTGCAATGATGATAAGAAGAACTTAACTATTTACATTGGAGATTCAGTGGGTGATTTACTTTGCCTACTTGAAGCAGATGTAGGAATTGTGATTGGTTCAAGTTCAAGCCTTAGGAGAGTAGGGACGCAGTTTGGTATTTCATTTGTCCCGTTGTTTTCTGGCTTGGTTAAGAAACAGAAAGAATACATTGAAGGAAGCACTTCTAATTGGAAGGGTTTATCTGGCATTCTTTACACAGTCTCTAGTTGGGCTGAAGTGCATGCTTTTATTTTGGGTTGCTAGTCTTATTTTGTGTCTCACGCACCCAAGTTCATGCTCGTAGGCTAAAAGAAAGAAACATATATATATATATATAGTACAATACAAATACACAAGCAGGTGGCTAATTTTATAAGCGGCCACAGATTTTCTGCTGTCTCTCTTATTTCTCTTACAGGATGTTGCAATTGAGAGATATGGTGTCATTCTGATTAGTGGATATGCTGTAACCAGGGTATCTGCGATTTCCTGGAATTTTCTGAAGTGTTTCTTTGAAGTATCTGTTTGCTTATTGTTATTGATATCTTCTTTCCCCTTAAATCTTGTCAGGTATGAGAAATTTCAGACAGCAATAATTCAAATGCTTGTTAGATCAGGACATCAATTCAGGCTTTGAAGTGTTGTACTGGTATTTAGTAGGCTATTGCTGTTCCATAATTTTAAGGATTCGGCAAAGATCCTGTGTATTTTCAGTTGACTCCTTGATCATTTATGAATGCAGATGCAGAAATGATGTTCATCTTTATATTGGGACACTTATTTTATTTTATTGTTTTTTTTTCAATATTTTATTTTTCAGTTTTATGCTATGTTTATAGTTCCAATCTCTCCAATATGATTTTGGAATTTTTATTGGATATGTGGGAGAGGTTAAGAGTGGAATGGTTTGTACAATATATATATATATATATATATATATATATATATATATATATATTAAAATTATACAAAATGCATTCGAATTAAAAATCAGTTGTCAAGTGCGAGCGATTAAATACTTTGTTTGAATGAATAAGAGATAGAAAGTGGAAACACAATGTTTCAATAATAATTAGACTAAACACAATGCTTTGTATAAACCTTTGAAATTTTAAGCAGATGTATGAAAGTCGATGCAGAATTAGTTGTACCTTCAAACAGAGAAAAACAATTATATATAATATTTGTATTCCTTTGTAAAAATATTTATTTTAAAAAAGCAAAATTAACATACTCTAAAACTTCGTACAACACCCCAAAAACTTTTGGGTTTCCTTTAATGGTGAGTGCGCTAAAGTGGGACAGATGCGTCATTATAGTTTTCTTTTTATTTTTCTCACCTTATAACTTTAGGGTGCATCCACGTGGGGAATCGAACGAATATAATATTTTATCTGGAATTTGTTTTTGCTTCTCCTTGGGAAGTTTGTATGCCTAATTTTCTTTCTCAGGAGAATTGTCACTGTCTTGATGGATTGTCAGGAGAACTGGCGGAGCTCGCATAAACTTAAATTGGGCTTTAAATGGAGTACACAAGCATGTTCCCATAAATCACATAATCCTGCTTTTGCCTACTCTTACAGTGAAGAGAGTTAAGTGAAAGCATTGATTTCTTAATTGGAAAATATTTAGTAGTGCCCTTAGGATAAAAAAGTTTCTAATTTTTGTTTCTTTAGTAACTGCTTTTAGGATAATGATCAGCAAGATCTTAATTAAATTTGTGTTTTATGAAATTTATTAGGGAAACACGGGTGTACGAAGAAAATGGGAGAGAAACAAAAGAAAATAGAGTAAGCCCTGACAATAAAACACAACAGAACTTTTAGTTAAAAGAATAAAAGGAAGTTGACCCATCAAGCCATCATCATCATTTTTTTAAGTGAAAGAAGCCATCATTGTTGTTAAATTCATAATTATCTATATTTATATTCAATTTGGTATTTAAATTCTTAAACAAGAATATTTTTATGAATAATTTTGAAAAAAAAATTGTTATAAGTTTTCTATGATAAAATTAGCTAAAATCTTATATTTTATAGCTTACAATTAATTAGTTGAAAACTTATAATTAATTAATTAAATTATAATTCTTTGATGAAAGTAGTTGTGTTGATCTTGGCTCAATAAATAATAAACCATAGAATATTGATATAAGTGGAGAATCTTTAGTTATTTTCTAATTAGTTAGAGTTAGTTACATGTGTAAGCAAGATATATAAAGATATTTTTCAATCTAATGTGTGTGAAAAAAAAACAAAGTGTATATATAAGGACCTGAATTTTATATTTCTTTGAAATATATTTTTCTTTGTAACTTTAAAAAATAATCCTTCTATAATTTAGTGAAAAATCAAACTTGATATTGATAGTGATTTCTCATGAATGTAGATTAAGGTTTGTTAATACTTTAATTAAGCATGCAATTTTTTAGTGTGTATTGTGTTTCTCTCTGTTATTTATTTTCTTGTAATCTCTCGTGATTGTTTGCAATACTGAAAGGTGTTCTTGTTTGTTATGTCAGTAAATTTAGTTTAATTTCATAACAAATTGGTGCACTAAGTGCGAAGTGATTTAAAATGGCTTATGCATAGTACGAAATTGAGAAATTCACTGAAAATAATGATTTTGGATTATGGCAATTAAAAATGTGAGCTCTTCTTTTCAAAAGGTCTTTTGGAAGTACTTGAAGGTGAATCCAAGCTTGATGCTACTATGGCAGAGAAAGATAGGAAAACATTGTTTGAGAAGACTCACAGTGCCGTTGTCTTGAGTCTTAGAGACAGTGCTGAACAAGTATCAAAGGAGAAGACTGTTGCAAGGTTATGGACTGAGCTTGAAAGCTTTACACGACAAAATCTTTGGTAAATTGTCTTTATTTGAAACAAGCATTATACTTGTTTAAGATGAGTAGTGAAAAGGAAATTAGTGAACAATTAGCTGAGTTTAATAAGTTGATTCTTGATCTTGAAAACATTGATGTTGAAATAGAAGATGACGAACAAGTGTTACTCTTATTGTGCTCGTGCCTAAGACACATGATCAGTTCAAAGAAACCTTACTATATGGAATAGAGTCCCTCTCTCTTGAAGAATTTCAAGCAACTCTAAGTTCTCAGGACTACTGAATGAGAGAATTGATAAGTCTTCAGTGAATGGTGAATGATTGATAGTGTAGGAAAGAACATTCAAGAAAGAAAGTCTAGGAGACGAAAGTTCAAGTCTCAAAATAAGAATGGTGGAAATAATATCTTGAACATTTAGTGCTACCATCGTAAGAAAGAAGGTTACACAAGACAATATTCCCTTGGGAGGCAAAAGAATGTTACTACTCCTGAAAGGCCTTAGGACTTTGGAGGTGTAACTCTCGTTAAGGATGAATATGAGTCATAAGAAGTTCTAATGGTGTTTAGAAGTGTTGGTAATGCATAATGGATTATGGACTTGGGATGCTCATTTCATATGACTCCAAACAGATTATGGTTTGAAGAATTTATAGAATTTGAAGGAGGTTTTGTTCTTCTTAGTGATAACAAATCCTGTAAGATCATTGGTATTGGAATCATAAGGTTCAAATTGCATGATGAAAATTATTGAAAGATATATCTGCAGAATTACTATCAAACCTTAAGTGTAGAATTTTAGCTGATTTTAGGTGGTATAGAGACACTTTCTTGTCTAGAGTTTACACAAAAAAAGATAGCCAAAAATCGTTTTGAAAAGAAAAGTTCTTACCTGATATTCCTAGATCTTTAAGATATAAGGTTAGTGATAAAATTTGTAGCCAGTCTGTCAGTAGAGAAATTCCTTATGATAGTTTTAGTTATGGTTAGCTAATTTCGTATGTCCAGAAAGTTGCCTTAAAAATTTGTCAAGATGACAAGATTCAAAGACAACTAGCCAAGGAGAAAGCCTAGAAGAAAAAAGATTTAGGGTCCTTTTGTGAACAATTTGGCTTACTTGCCTGTCCAACCAAGAAAAAGAAATAATATCCCAAGAAAGAGATAGAACCTAAAAAGAGTTCTATAAGAAGAAGTATAACTGCAATAAGCAATCCAAGAAATCCATAGAGGATAATATCTCTAAAAATATTCCTAGGAAACCTAGGACTGGGGTCACTTATTACAATTGTGGTAAACTTGGTCATATAAGCAAATACCGTAGACTTAAGAAAAAGATTAACAATCTTAACCTTGATTCTTCTATTGAGGACCAATCAATAATCTTTTGATTGAAAACTCAGAAGAAGATTCTTCCAAAAAATCTTATAAAGATATCAATCAAATTCAATAGAATGATAAAGTATCCTCCTCTGATAGTGATAAATTCCTATAGTCAATATGTTGACAAAAGGACAAGATCTTCTTTTTGAAGCTATTAATTCTATTCCTGACCCTCAAGAAAAGAAAAGTTTTCTTAATAATCTCAAAGAAGTTTTAGAAACAAAAAAACCTAAAGAACTTATTACAACCAATAAGTTTGATGTAAACAACACTTTCAAAAAATTAAAAAACAATTTTGTTAAACCTACTACGATACAAGATTTACAAATTGAAATTAGCAATCTCAAAAAAGAAATTCGTAAGATCAAAGAGTAACAACAAATTCATCAAGTTATTCTCTCACAACTTGAAGATGATTGTAAATATAAAGTTGCAAAAGAATAACTTTCTGAAAATGATTTTGAAAAACTAGAAGAAGAATTTTTTATGGGTTTGATTAATCAAATCAAAATCCAAAAGTTTTATATTAATATCAAAATCATTATTGATGACTTTGTTCTTGATACTTTAGCATTTTTTGATATTTGTATTGATTCAAATTGTATTTTAGAAGGTTTAATATCTACTAAATATTTTGAAAAAACTTCAGAAAAACTGAGTACAGCCAGTGATTCTAAACTTAAGATTAATTACAAGTTATCTAAAGTTATTATTAAGAATCAATGTTTGAAAATAAAAACAAGCTTTTTTCTTGTGAAAAACCTAAAAAACGAAATCATTTTGAGAACACTTTTTATAAAATCTCTTTTCCTACTTCAATTTTCAAAAGAAGAAATTTTGAGCTTTTAGTTAGGCTAGCAAATTACTTTTAAATTTTCTACTAAACCAATCACTAGAAATATTAATTTTATTCAGAATAAGATTAATCAAATTAATTTTCTAAAAGAAATAGTTTCTTTTGGCAACATTGAGACTCAGCTAAAGAATCTATCCATTCAGAAGAAGATTCAATCTGTTCTAGAATCCATCCAATCTTCAATCTATTTCGATCTTCCATATGCATTTTGGAATAGAAAGAAACATATAATAGATCTTCCTTATGAGAGAGACTTTAAAAAAAAATCCCTATGAAGGCAAGACCTATCTAAATGAATGAAGAATTACTTCAATATTGTCAGAAAGATATTAAGGATCTCTTAGACAAAAAACTAATTAGAAAAAATAAAAGCTCTTGGTCATGTTCTACTTTTATGTCAATAAGCAAACAAAATTAGAAAGAGATACTCTTAGACTAGTTATCAACTATAAACCTCTTAACCAAGCTTTCCAATGGATTAGGTATCCTGTTCCAAATAAAAAAAAAAAAAAACCTTCTCAACTGTCTCAACTCTGGTAAAATCTTTTCTAAATTCGACATGAAGGCAAGATTTTGACAAATCCAAATCAGTGAAGCAGATAAGTATAAAACTACTTTTACTGTTCCTTTTAGGCAATACGAATGGAACATAATGTTCTTTAGTCTTAAAAATGCTCCTTCTGAATTTTAGAATATTATGAATGACATATCCAATCCTTACTCTAAATTTGTCTCTGTCTACATTGATGATGTCTTAGTTTTTTCTCAATTGATTGATCAACATTTCAAATACATAAACACTTTTG